TCCCTAACGGGGCCCGAACGCTCCCGTCTGGGAGGCCTTGAATACCGGGCCCTTCACCTCTTGTCCATCGTGGTCCCACTGTATTCGGTGCTCTGGCAACTACTAGGAAGTCTTGCTCTCGGAGCCTGGATTGCGAACAATATGCCGGCAGTCGCAACATCTAATGGTGCGAACCCGTGGTGGGCCGGCATATTCTTCGCCGTCTCAGCATTTAATAACTCGGGGATGTCATTGCTGGATGCCAACGTAGTGCCATTCCAGCAGGCATATTTCGTGCTCATAACCATGGGCTTACTCATCCTCGCGGGCAACACGGCATATCCGCTGTTTCTGAGACTCATCTTCTGGGCAGCGTTGAAAACACTTCGTGCAACGACCGCCAAGGAAAAGTTGGCCGAGCTGAAGAGCACATTGGAGTTCATCCTGAAGTACCCGCGTCGAGTTTACACCAATCTTTTCCCATCGCGACCGACGTGGTGGCTTTTATTCATGGTCCTCATGACGAATGGCATTGACTGGATGGCATTTGAGGTTCTCAATATCGGTAACCCGGTTATTGAAGCTATTCCTGCCGGAGCTAGAGTGCTGGACGGCTTATTCCAAGCTCTAGGTATGTCCCCCTTTCTCATCCTCTACGAAAAAGACAACTACTGACTGAGTCGTAGCTGTCCGCTCTGGAGGTTTCTACGTCATCCCAATAGCCTCAGCCTATCCAGGGCTGCAGGTACTGTATGTGATCATGATGTACATCTCCGTGTATCCTGTGGTGATCACTATGCGGCACTCCAACGTCTACGAAGAGCGGTCTCTAGGAATTTACGACGACGATGAGCCATCTCCAGTCTCTTCCCACCCGGGCGCGAAAAAGGATCCAAGCAGTACCGGTATTTTTACACACTTTCTACGCGAGAATCTAAGCTTTGCTGGTGTTGGTGCTGCAAAAGCCGAGAAGAGAGGCAGCGGATTTGAAACTCGAATGAGTTTCGTGAACCAGCAAATCCGTGGTCAACTAGCACACGATCTGTGGCTTCTCGCACTGGCTGTCCTCATCATCGTAACTATAGAAACGTCACACTTTCTGGAAGATCCGGTGCACTTTTCGGTTTTTAATGTCATATTTGAAGTGGTTTCTGGGTACGGCTGTGTTGGTATATCTGTTGGGCTTCCTAAAGATGCCATGAGTTTCTCTGGAGGATGGAATCCCGGGAGCAAACTAGTCTTATGTCTCGTTATGTTGAGAGGGCGTCATCGAGGTTTACCTGTGGCCCTGGACAGGGCTGTGCGATTGCCTGGACAGAGGCTGTTGGAGGAGGAAGAGGAAGATTGGAGACTGAGAGGGGCTAGGAACAGGCATGGAGTGGCGTGAAAGGCTGCAAAATGGAAAAGCTATACATGTTACACGCATACTTTATTTGCAGAGGAATAGTAAAGAATCGGAGAGTCCGTCGAAAGGACCAGACCTTTATCCCTGTCAGCCTTGCGCGGGCGTACTTGTACATTCAAACTTGCAAACGAACCTTTGCTACAGTGTTTCGAATATTTTTAAGGCCGTAATTCTATGAAACTTTAGGGCGAAGCACATAGTCATGAGCCGTTTATTTACAGTACTTCTAAAGGCCGGGTGAATGTACACGACTACTCACGTCTCCTAAGTACCGATTCTAAGGAATCCCCAATTGCCTTTCACCTCAACTTTGCGTGAATCAGTCCGAGTCTCCACGGTCGCATTTCCCTTGAAGTTGGAGGGATACACGAGGGGCTACCGGAGTGAAACACTTCGGGATGTACGACGCCACAGAGCCCATGCATGCTGGGAACGGTTAAGCAAAGACGTAATGTCGCAGCCACATGATCATCACCAAGACACAGCTGAGATAACTGTCTAGGAAGGAAAGGTGGCCCGAAAAAGAACAACCTCGACTCACAAGGAGATCTTTGAGATGTACTGGGTAGAGCCGTTGACTTGGGACGCCTCTGTCAAACTGTTTCTTTGAGACCTGCCATCAGCCAACCAAATAATAAAAGTCAGAGAACTCAATGCATTTTAATGGACATAGGTATAAGTTGCTGCCTAAGATGTATCATCGGGATGTTGGCACGCTAATGATCCCCTCGGGCGGCACTCGTCAGCGCCCCCGTTTTCGTACCGGTCAAACGGCTCTGACCAGCGATGTTGGCTCACGCGGTGGCTGTGACGCCTTGAACGCCACGTGAGTCCTCAAGTTTAGGTCTTTCTGGTCTGAAAAGCAGACCCAAGAACGTAGAATAGAGACTAAGGTATGGGATGAAAGAACTTCCACACTGCGACACAACTATCAAAACCTGCCCGAGGCGATCAGATCATATAGCTTGTGTGACTTGCTTGTCGTAGTGAGAAGCTTCCTTCTCCTTCTTCGAGATTTCGCCAAACCTACGTTTTTCAGTGCGAAGTTGGCACATAAGTAGCTTCCACGAATATAACCATAGGGGTCATGGTTTGATGTAGAAACAACCAAAACCTCAAGGATTAAGCTTCTTAAGCATGAGAGAGAAGATTGACACGCGACGCTATACGTTTCTAATAGACTGTAACTGTCGCAAGCTACTATCATTCTCACTACTGTGAATGGACATCAGGCTGGGCAGGCTATTGGCCTTAGTCGCGTTAAATGCGTCTATCATCTTAGCAGTATACTGGCATGCGTACGCAAGAAAAAGCTACGTTACTTGCTCCTCATGGTTATCAAAGAAACTCATGATAGGCACCCACTCAGAAAATGCGCCTCTGAATCAAGACAAGCTATGCCATGGACCAATGAGAAACAGAGCGCTTCCCGAGAACAGCGGTCAGTCCGTTTTCGACGTTACACCATTCAGCTGGACACTACTGTTTTCAAAGGCACAAGGCTCATAATTGGCTAGAGGTCAATAGATGTGGAGGCCAATGTCTTAAGGTGCCTCACGTTTGATGCAAAGGCGGACTGGTTAGACAGAGGGGACACTAGGAGGAGAGTGGCTTGGCATAAGGTTACTACTCAATCAGCCCACCTCCCTCAGGAACATAAGCTCGGACAAAGCAAAAAGTTTCTGAAAGAAATCGAAATGGATTTTCTGTTGTCTCTGTTGCTTGCGCACTGGCTTGAATACTGTGCAGACGGTGGTGTTTGGAGGCTCAATTACCTTACCTTACATTGCCAAGTTGTCTTAATATTGGAAACAGTAATAAATACTCTCAACTCCGCTTTAGTAGTTAGAGTTGATTCTCCACCTATCAAGTTCTCAATTGAACCTCTATATCGAAAACAAGTGGACTCCATCATTCGGAATAGAATTACCACGCATATACCTGCAGCGGTCATCATTCGAGAATATCGTAAGTCTTGTGCTCGTCTTCAAAGTTTTAGCTCACTCCAGAATTCTTCTTCTATGAAGATAGAATTTACAGATGCTTTTGGCTTAAATGGACCGAACTCTAACATAGTCTTAACTCCAGGACCCAGTACTACCGTTTCAGAGCAGAACTCGATGGAAATACCTCGAACAATCCTTGCCCATCGACAGTTGGATAACACTGTTTCTGCAGTAGTGAGGGCCGTGATCTGTCTTATCGTTGTTCTCGATGGCCACGTCCTAACCTTGTCATCAACGATTCGCCGAGTAACTACCTTGATGTTGTGTATCGATATGATCACGGAGTTTCGGAACGGTTTTCGAAAGTCAAAAGGCAGCGATAGAACCCGGATCGATACTCAAACGGGGTTCTATTACGCTTCAGCTATATGGATCGCGGTCTTTGATAATGACAATTCTCTTTGGAATTTCAAAATCATCCAAATTTTGGTGGTTTTGGGCGACATGTGCCAGCAAAAGAAAACTGGGACCACTCATGGAGCGTCAATCATGGTACTGTTTCTATTTGTGAACCATCATATACCTTTTCAACTGGTAAGTATTCAAATTAGTGGAACGCTGCCATTATGAACAAGATGTTAACTTTTGAAGCAGGATGATAGTCCTGGAGACTCATCCCTTTCGGACCTGCATCGAAGAGATGTCTTTCTCGAGTTGTGCAAGTCCAATACAACACAAGAAGCTACTGGTGAGTGGCCTGCTTAACTTCCTTTCCATCTCTAACTGGGAACTTGATGTTTGACCCCTTTCATATTCCCGTTATGATCATGCTGCTATGCGTATTCAAATAAGCCGTCTTTGTTTCCCGCCTAGAGTCGTGCAATCAAGATAGACTGTGCTAACTCACTCCTTAGGTGAAAAGCGTGCAGGTGAGGGCTGGACTCGTTCAGAAATTACATCTCTGATGTCAACAATTGTAACGCCCCTTGTGGGACCGGTTGTGGGAGCGTTCTGGGGCTCAATCTTCGCCTTTGCAAGCCCCAAAATTTTGCAGAAGATATGTACAGCGTTGAAAGATTGGCAGATGTCTAGACCAGTGACATCAGGAGTCCGTTGGGCAATGGACTCCGCGCGACCAATCATTCCGCCTAGCCCTTCACAGATGGAAGCCGGCACTCGGATTATAGCCATGCAAAACGCTCATCCCAGCATACACGTCCTTCCACCGCCTGCAACGGCAAGTCGCTCACATCCCATAATTTGGTTCAGCAGCTAATCTCCGAGGGATCAGATCAGGGCTTCAAGGAGCCGCACATTCTTTGGCCGCTGGTGAGCGAGATTTATTACAGCTGAGCATCAGGGCGCGTCGATTTTGGTCATTCATCGATTATTCTGTGATGTAAATTAGTCCTTCTAGCTGATGTTCTTCTTAGACGACGTAATAGATCATTTATACATTCTTTGCTAATGTATCGCTTTCAATCTACGCGAAAAATATCTTATCTGGGGTAGAACACATTCACCGGCCACTCTCAGACTTACACCAAGGATGATTTATTCAATACTTGCATTCATCCTGTCCCCCCGTCCAACGACACTGGTCTAACGGCCAAAAATGACATGGCTATCTGAAATGCTCCATATCTAAGTAGAAAGTTCTCTCTTACTTATCATCTCCTTTTCTCCCGAAATTTGCAAGTCTCATTCTTGTGGCGGACGAGATTATCATCTCTTGTAAATCCCTCACCGCAGTTGGTACACGTGTGCTTCTTCGGATTTTCCCTTTTCTTGTGCAAGGCGTCTCTATGTCGTTCTAGATCTTTCGGGGCAGCGAATCTCTCTGGACACAGTGTTGGAAATGCCCTGGGCATGGGGAAAAGACATTGATAAGGCCTCAGGTGTTTGTCTCGGTGTCTCCTGAATTAAGTTATTACATTTCCTGGACTGTTGGGGCCCATGTGGATCACTCACGTAAGATCCCCAGGTTGTTCGAATACCTCTCCACAAGGCTCGCACACATGTTGGATCTCATATGCCACTTGAGCAGCCCGGGCCGTTGCCTCTTCATCAGTCATACCTAAACCCACCGGAACCTGCGATTGCCGCTCACCAAATGGGAGGTTTCCCCATGGCGGCAATCCACCCTCAGGAGCCTAGAGCCCTGAAGATGTGTTTCCAGAAGTACATGTATGGCCAAGAGAGGCGAGGTGATGAGCTTGGTTAGTCAGGGCAGGCCTGTGGAAAGTATTGGGGAGGCCGAGTGCGCCATGAGATGCCAAACCAAATTCGTACAAGTGTTGGTCGTCCTCAGAGACAGCCTGCAACTGCCATGCTGTGTTCAAAGAATAGAAAATGTCCTCTGTCTCGCCATCATCAATATCCACGCGCTGCATTTTGACGAACACAAGTCCTGTTGCACACATATGGGGATCAGTAGAGCCCTCGGTTCAGGATGGGCGAGGGTACATACGTCCACGGCCTGATTTGGCGACAGCTTAGGTCAGGGCAGTAATGCCGTTGGTGAACAGATGATTTCGTGTCTATTCCTTCGGTTTTCTGGGTTGAGTCAATGGTCACTCGTGAGAAAGGCCCCCCGCAGTAGCTGAAATTATAGGGTGGTGATACATACTAGTCCAATGATGCACAAGTGATTTGGGAAAACGGTATGTGAGGTATTGGTGAAGATAGCAAAGCCCCAAAAATCCAGGGAATCCGGATTTATATGTGCGCAATACAGCAGTCTTTCCAATGAAGTCCCCGTTTCCTCTTGCGTCCCGCAGTCAGTACGTGTCAGATCTGTCCTCACAAGCTGTTGTGTATCGTTTGCTCCTCGCTTATTGCTGGAGTGATGCCATGCACTGATAGACCTTCCAGCATAATCAATATTGGGGATTTGGGATCACTCGTAGTCTCCTTCAATACTTAGTGAGGTCGCTATTGATGGTGTTGTCAGCCTGTTTCGTGAAGGCAAGGAAATAAAGTCCCACAAGGACGCTCGGCCAACCATTGGTCGCTGCAGCACGAACGCGCATAGTTATTGTCATCTGCCTCTTTCTGTTAGGCTAGCTTAGAAAGCCTTGAAGTTGGCCTCCCGCATTAGCTTGAGAAATGTGCATGAATGTCAGCCAATTAGAGCAAGCCTTGCGCGGAAGGGGGGCGGTTTAGGGTGCATCCAAGTTGAATCCAGTGCGACTGACTTGTCAGTTCATTGACTGGAAGCCATTTTTGAACCCGATCAATGGTATAGGTGTCCTTCTAAATGAAGTTAAACAAAGTATGCTTTTTATTAACTTCAAGACGGGTTTGCTGGTGGGTGAGGACGTCAAGTGGGAGCTACTCAAGCAGAGAGAACAGCATCATTCTGACCGGGCTGACTATGTCCTGAACGCGCAACGGGATCAGAACTTGAAATCTAATGTGAAAGAATGGATTACATAGGGGTATCGAGATTTCACGAAGTTTGGGAAAATATCTCAATGTGAATATTTATATTGCCTCATTACCAGCATCCAGAATATTCATAAAATGGCTTGGGAGAGCTGAAAATATTCAAGGCGAGTTTCAGGTAGCAACGTCATAGTCAACATATCAAATTTATGAACGCGCACTATAACAAAATATTTAAAGCAATACGAACGCATTGCCTGAATAATGAATCCGTAGCAAAAGCAAAGCCGCTTTAACCCATGAATTGATGTTGCTTTTGCCGATGGCGGTACAGGTTATCGGCCCTTGTGAATGTTTCGGTGCACTCAGGACAATCAAATTCATCCCTTCCAATGCCATGAGTGGCCTTGTGTCGGTCCAAACCCTTCTTATCCGCAAATCTTGCAGTGCAATTCTCGACTGTACAAGCGCATGGCTTGCTATGCTTCCTCATGTGGCGACTGAAGATCTAATGTCAGCGATACCGTACAGGCATGAAAGCAGTGAGGTGTATGAACCTACTTGAGCTCATACTTCTTCTCATAGCTTCTAGTACAGTTTGGGTCCCCGGTACAAACGAAAGGAAGTTGATGCGGTTGTTGTGGAGGATTAGACTCAAGAGGCAGAGCGGCGGCGGTATGCAGGGGGGTCCGGACCGCCTCCTGAGCGTACATTTCGGCGTCCATATCGTTCCAGACGTCTAGTCCCTGTGATGGTAGCTGGTGGGAACTGACCCCGTGCGAAGATCCACCCCGAAACGCCTAGAGCGCTTGAGATGCGGCTCCAGGAGACTGATAGTCAGATTGCGCGGCGTAATAATTGGTGCTGAACGAGCTCGTTTGCGTGTGAGGTAACAGTGAAGGGTCGATGAGATCGTCAGAAGTAGGGGCGTAGGCGTCGTTTACGTAACCACCAGTGGTGGGCGGCCAACCCCATGGCTCATTGGCCCTAGAATAGTCGTGGGTTACCCGAGAGGTTCCGTTGTGTTGAGACTCTCGAGGCATGACAGTATTTGAACTTGATTTTGGGTCTTCGGGGCAGTATTCAGTACTCAGATGATTCTGTAGGCTCTCTCTTTCGTATCTCTGTACGTGACCTAGAGCAAACTTGGTTAAACAACCGCGGCAGCAGTGTCTTGACTTCTCGAAGATTACATACCTCTGGGTGCCCCAAAGAAAGTCCAAAATAAGGTACCAAAACGATCAATCTTTGCCCGGCGGACAATATCGAACTCAAGCTGACGAGGTGTCATTAGCAAAGGCCTCCCGCAGTGTTTTCGCGGTTCCACAGCGATGAATACATGTATCCGCAACCAGAACCAAAGAGTTTGACACCCAATTCAGAGAAACGTTGTGAAAATGTGTCAGTCAGTACTCACAGAGTTCCTATCACAAATTTATCTTCCGATACTTACAAGTCTTCTCAGACAAGTTGAGATAATATAGCGATGGATAGCGTGCATGAACTACTATGCCAGGAAAAGACGACTGCGCTCAACTCATCGAATTCAACATGAAAGCGTGGATAATGCCATCTGTGGTGGATTTGACCAGAAATAGAGGCCCCTTTTAAAGTATTTGCATCTTTCAGAGATCGAATATCTATGTAATTTTGAACAGCTTGATTAGAGGAACTCGGCTTTTACACTTCTTTCTTTTTCTTCCAACTTCTCTAGACATGCTCGTTACCTGTTCCCTCCAGCAGCGAATCATTCATCACCCGACGTTCGACCCAAGCGGCACTACTTGCGCATGCTGCCAAGATTGGCTAGAGTGTTGCCTATACGTCCAAAGCACGTCGTCTTAGTGGAGAAAGAATTCGGTGAACCTGTCGTATGCGGATGGCTCGATGAGATGGGACTAACGTACTTGCAGCCGGTTGCAGGTCAGGATGCGGGAGGCCAACCATCCTCACGATCACGTTGACCAATTAGCATGAAGTGGAAGGCTCTACTGAGGCCTCAAAGTTGTTGGAACATTCAGGCGACCGGTTTGCTGCCTAACTAGATAAGTAACCCACAGAAGATATTCGGGGTGACATCAGGACGCCTTGCAATATGCCTCAAAGGATGTTACCAGCCTTGGGCATTAGCAGTCGCTCCTCCTGGCTCGAATGACACCATGGTTCAACAGCAAGACCCGACATGTGGTATGTGAACCTTAGGGCCAATCATTGCTCAGAAGCTCGATTGTTGGCCTCCGCGGCCTCCCACTTTTTATGCAATCAGCTGCACCCTAGTGACTTTTGATCAATGAGTGTGGCTGCAAAATGAACAGCTGGCTGTCAGCAAATCTGTGGGATATGTTGGTACGGCCAACAACCTAGGTTGCGAGTTGGCGACTAGCGCAAATGCGCGCGGGACTTTCTTTCCGACTGTTACTTTGTCAAGTTTTGCGCTTATTCGGCGATGTTTGTCCTCCTCGGGCCGCTGTGAGCGTCCTGAATGATGCTTTGGGCGCCATGTGTGATCTCTTGCGCACTTTGCTTAAACAATCAAGATCCCCTCGAATTTGAAAGAATTTTAGGCGTTGTTCATGTTCAAGTAGTGCGGACAGCGCATATAGCCAGCTCCTCACTTGACGTATTGCCAAGTACCTACACTCTTGGCAACGTACTATTCGGATTGATCAGGTTCCTTTTCTTAGTTTAATTCCAATGGCCAAAGGGAAATCCACGATGCGAAGTCCTGCTAGGGGATCGGGGCGAAGTGAGATATCGTCATCCCAATTCTTGCGAAAGCTTCGACTAACCTGATACCAAATTGACAGAAATGGTGACGGCCGACGGCCTGGATCACCCCATCAGTCTAGAGCTTTGCAAAAGGCTGAACAGATTCTACGAAGCCTTGATACTGCTTTCAAGTCTGATGCAGGCTTGTTCGCGCAATGGACAACAGCCGAACAAAGCTTCGAGCGATGTTTCTGAACCAGGAGATGATTATAGAATGACCCAGGAATGCCTCATGAATAAGCTGGCGCAGATATGTGACAATCGACGTGGAGGCGAAACTGTCACATCTGTGGCCATCATCCAGTTACCTGACTGTTTGGTCTATGCCTTTGCATCCAACCAGAGATCTCCTAAAGAGATCAAGGAAGCAGAGACATTTCTTCTGGATCTCTTCCAATACTTGAGTAACACAAGTGCAAGTTCATCAGTTCTTATGGAAGAGGCCACTTCGAAATCGGCCACCTACGTACTAGAAAAGATTTTGGCCTTCAATCATGAGCGAGTCCAGTGCTACCGCATTGGTCTGGTCCAAGGGCTCACACAGTGCATTAAAGATTGCGATAGGCGTGGATCTGTCCATGGTGAGTCTTTAACTTCAAAGATGACTTGCTGTTCTAATACCCCTTGGAGATATTACGGTCAAACAAGCATTGCTGAGGCTTCAAAGCGTGGCCGACAGATCAATGACCTCATCTAGAAACACCTCTCCTCCAGGTAATGATAAAAACTCTCCGTAATCGGAGTCTTGGTGAATCCTGCCCACCTAATCGACCATTTGCAGAGAAAACCTCGCAAGACGACGAGGCACTTGTCCGGGCAGCTGCAGATCTACGACAATCACTGATCTATCATTCCATCGTCGACAGAGGGAAACTGGGAAGGTTTGACGAATCACCACATTGGGCTGAACTACAACATTTCATCGGTCGCCTTGTCTCTTACCTGAGAGCGACTCAGACTATCTTCGTGGCGCGAAGGCGTCACCCAGAGCTTTTCGACATTGACAGCATCAAGATCAAGTTTATCCCCTCAAGCAGGCCACTGCCCAACCCGATGAACGCATTCCAGGCCGGCCTCGACCCTTTACAGCGACAAACAGTCCGCTCCGCGCACGATTTAATACCGCGAATGACGGGAGATGCGGAGATGATTGAGACTTACAGTCAATACGCGGACGAGCTCCAAGTGTGCAAGCTCGATGAGCTGATCGCGACTCAGTGCTGCAAATCCAACCCCAGAGGTTTCCGACCGATTGTGCACAGTGAGGTCCTTCTTCTAGATTGGCTTCGCAAACAGTTTGCAGAGGACATGCACTCCATCCCTTTCTACGAGGGCAACAAATATATCGGTTGCAGCAAGCCCACCTGTCGACTTTGCGAGTACTATTTCGCTGCTCACAGCAGCGGCGTCAGAGTTCGCTCACCTCACCGCAACGTATACCGAAACTGGGCTGTTCCCGATGCTTTGGTAGAGGGAGAAACCTCACGGTACAAAGACAAAATGATTGATGCGGTTTTGGTTAAGGTTCGCGAAGACGCTCTCACTGCACTCAGGGAGAAAGTATGTGTGAGGAAGAGATTCGACTCTAACACGTACTCGTCGATGCCGACATGTCAGTCGCTTACTGGCATCTCAGTCACCTTAGATGACCTGTCGTCCCGCATCGGAGGCTTGTCCATCTCGTCTCACATGCACTCCCGTGTTTACCCTTCTGTCGCGACAAGAATACATGTATCTAGCAACGTTGAAGACACTTGTAGTGTCGCTGCTCAGGGGACAAACGGTGGTAGCGATGATGAAAGTGGTGGTGAACTAGTATTCTCTGGTCGTAATAGGCGTTCCTAGAAGTCGTGTTATTGTGTCGCTGTCACAACAGTATTCTTTGGCCTTCCGAAGCTCTAGTGGTAATAACATCGGAGGTCTACGTATTCAACAGTCTTGACCAAGGTAGTCTGTCGTATGTTATCCTGTTTCCTTTCAAAATGCTTCAAGTTACATGAGATACCTGATTTATCTTCAAGCCAATACATGTATCTAAAGGACCTTATGAATGAATGCCGTTGAATACTTCAGGTTCCTGTTCACCCCCGCAGTGAACTAATATCAAATGCTGTTGGTTGGCATCGCCACCTTCCTGAAGAGGAAACTGCAAAACGTAAAATGTGTCCGGGATGAATTTGCGCCTTGAAAGCCTGTCTACCTTCGTTTGACGAAAACGTGCCGTTTCAATTTCTTTTCCAATTCTATACCCGATGAAGCATGAAGATTTTACTTGTCGCACAATTACGAATACATATCACATCACGCGTTGTTATGTCTCGCCCTTTCATCCCCGATGGCTTCGTCCACCGGGTGGAAATCCCACCAGTTCTGGCTGCGCCAAGCATCGTATTGCGAGACTATTGCTTACTAGCGCCCTGGCATGCTCACATAAGCTTGGAGGCTCACCGACTCCACATTGACAACATTTTGATGAAACTGACCATTAACGCACAAGATTGTGAGCGCGGATGGAGCTTTAAGAGGCAGTTAATACAACCTTGGACCGCCGGCCCGGGCTTCCAAAAAGAGAATGCACGTCACCGATGGGTGGGAGCCCGGGGTATAATGCGGTGCCGCGGGGTCTGGAAAACGCCATCAACTCGACGTATATCTCTCCATATTCAGCTCCCCCTGGCCCGGCCCGCGAGCGGGGGGAACATTGAACATTTGGCGACCGCCAAGTTTCGTTGTGAGAGGTCAACGTTTTCTAGCGGACCTGAGGAAAACGCATGAGTGACGCCACGGCCCGCATCTATGCTACTGCACAGTGGCATCCTCTGTGCCCGAGTCGCATGAAATTTCAGCTGAGTGTAGTTGGATCGAACCACACGCAACCTGGGCTTCTGCGGCCAAGAGCCTGGCGCAACTCAACACGAAAATTCGACATGTTGACTGTATTATGAATGGCATATAGAATGGAGGTGCTCCGCCGGTCGTCGCAACTTCTGGTCATCAGCTCATCTGGTGGACAGGGGGTTGCCAAGGACACCCAACTTTTACATTCGTTACCAAGAACTCGAGCCAGACGCTGAGAAATTCGCACAAGATGGTGCAATTAAAGGCTCACAGTGTCTTGGCTGGGGCCTACGGTGTAGTAGCTGTTGTTGCCGCTGCCTGTACATCTGATCTCCTCGTGGACGACTTCTCCAGCTCATTCACAACGAACAGAAATAATCTCGACTCATGGACTTCAGGTAAGATACCACAAATTCATCGGGAGCGTCCGATACTTCGGTTTGAATTGCCAATGGATCTCCACAAAACAGCTGTCCAAGAGTCTCAAATGACCAACACGATGTTCGATAGATGATGCAAGCATGACCAGCATTTCCGCGACTGGTGGTATTCTAAGCTTCACTCCGAAGGGCGGTGCGTACTACTACGAGACGTTCCCCTGCCAAGCATTACAGACCGACTTGTACACACACGTCCAGCTTGACATTAAAGCACCAGTGTCAGGCGCAGCCTTCACAACCGAGTTGAACTCCGCCTCAAGCTGCTCAACGACGACTAGTTCAAAAACGTCTTTCCGAGTCACAGGTCTGACCGGCGGCTGGCAGACGCTGCGCATTCCATTGAGTAGCTTTGCTGCCGGAAATCTCAATGCCGCCTTGTCGTTTGTCGTTGGGTCGTTTTCGTCTACCCAGGAATGGCAGCTTGACAAGATCTCGTTTGTCTGTGCTCAGGGGTCATCAGCAACTTCGACTTGTAAGTGATAACTAGTCGGGTTGGGATCCGTCCGGACATCATCCCGCCTATTGCTGACATAAATCTCACAGTCACTACGATTACTACGGTCACGCAGGCCCCTACAAGCTCGGTCCCATCTCCGACCCAGTCGAACAACCCATCATGCTCGGCGCTTCTAGTAGATGACTGGGCGTCACAATCACGCCTCGATTTCTTGCAGTACAACTCACTTCTGCTGCCGACAGGAGATGACGGAACAATGCAGTCTAAGGTCGTTAGCAACCATCATATAACATTGACTCCGAAGGACACTTCTTCGTATTTCTTCACTCAGGTCGGATGCTTGGATGCTTCGAAGTATGGTGGGATCTCACTTCGGATCAATGCTCCGGCTGGGACAACATTCAAGATCGAGTTGACTTCCAAGACGACGTGTGAGGGTGAAGTGACAGCGTATTCATCTCAGACAACTGCGCAACTGGGCTGGACCTTTGACGGAACCGAGAAGCTCTACAGCTTCCCCTGGTCAAAATTCAGCGGAGTCAACCTCAGCAAACTGCGATCCATCGTTCTCGAAGCGCCGACACGCCCCATCACACTAGGCCCGCTGGCACTTTACTGCGAAAGCACCCCGACTGGTTGGGTAGTGCCCACGGCCACCACCCCAACAGGGCCAACTCAAACTGTCCCGGCACCAGCTGCTACGGTCTCTGGCCTTGTGATTGACACCTTTGCCAACGCAAACACGAACTCGCTTGGGTTCTGGCACGGTGGCGATGAGTTGGATCTTACTTGGGGTTCAAACCGCGTCACAATCGTTGCCTCCGCTCCAGATTACGCCTTCACCAGCCTAATGAGCGGGGGATGTCGGGATTTGCGCAGTCAAAGTGGATCATACTTACATATCACCTACTCCGGTCATACCAAATTCTCCATCTCATTGCAACAGCACAACTCGCAGTGCAATGATGGTGTGGCACCATACCCTGAAACGAGAGACAGCCTGGAAGCAAGTCGGTACGCGACCACGAGCAGCGACATCTACATCCCCATCTCGCATTTCAACATCAACCTTCAGCGTGTCGCTAGTATTGCTGTTAGGGGCATTTACAGCACTGAGCCAGTGGTTCTAACGAAGATTGAGATCGTTCCCTCCATCCCTTCAGGGGTGAGCATCCCCCAAAAGCTGCCCTCAGGAACCCTTGTCTTTGCCTGCACGCGGCCTAACTCTTTCGCGTTTGGCATCGACGACGGAAACCCAAAATATGCCGCCAGACTAGCTCAAATCATCCGTGACGCAGGGATCAAAGTGACCTTCTTTGCCGTCGGCGCTGTGCTCGAAAACCCCTCGACTGGCATGGCCAGCCTCTACCAACAGCTCAAAAGCGAGGGCCACCAGATCGCACTGCACTCCTACACTCATCCGAGAATGGAAGGGCTGCCCGACACTGAGAGCATCGACTGGGAGTACAATGAAGATTACAGGGTGATGACGAACCTCTTTGGGGAGAGATCAAATTACTTCCGCCCGCCGTACGGCGTCGAAGGCGCGCGCATGCGTCAGCGCTGGGCGGCTGCGTCCGGATCAGACAAGGCCTACCTTATCAACTGGAGCGTCGATGTGCAGGACTGGTTGTGGGCCGAGACGAGCACGCCAGAGAAGCAAGTTGATTCATTCAACGCGGACGTTGCCAAGGGAGGGAACTTGGTGGTCATGCACTTCTCGTACAACACAACGGTCGAGTACTTCCCGGAGTTCATCAGGCAGGCCAAGGCTACTGGTAAGCAGATTATGAGAATTGATCAGTGTATGGAGGACCCGAACGCACCTCCGCTGTGATCGCGGAGGTGCCGGCGAGGGAGCGGAGACCAAGGGGGTTGAGTGAATATTGGATATTCTGACAACAGCCTTCTTATTTGTAAACTTCCTATCCATACATGTAGCATATGATTGGTAGGTGTTTAAAACTGGCAGTTGTGTGAATGCCTTTATTCCATAAGTCGAAGGAGCTGCCTATCTCGTGGAAAGTCGCCCTCGCTAGTGTACGGAAGGGTGCAGTCGAGGCCTTTGTCATGTGGCGGTGATGCCGGTGGAGCTGGTCGACTCAACGAGCCATGACCGCCACTATTCAAGCGACCCATGAACCTGTCGGCTTGTCCATCATCGCTAGTATGCAACTGAGAATGGATTTCTCCCATGTGCTAGGAATTGGATATCGCAAAATTATCTTGTGGCTGGATCGTTGGCCGAGTTTGCTACAAGTTCTACGGTGGGACTGGGAAACTTAAGGTCCGCACAAGAGCGAGGGAAAGGAGTGAGGATCCGCGCTCCAAGATGGACACGCCGATGAGATGACCTGGACAAGCAAAATCGAGGTTACGTGATTGTATCCTTGCAAACTCGGTATAACTTTCAATTGGTACATAAGGAAGGTTATAGATTATGGTTGCAACAGATAGTTGATAACCTCGCCCTTTGTCGAAAAAGACGTAACCGTGCAAGGTGGCAGTGCTCTTTTGAGCACATCCCCACAATCAAACGACGCTAATGCAGCCGGATGACATTTAAGCTTGGCTGTGATGCCCTGCCGTTCGGCAAGGATCTTGAGTTTAAATTTTGATGCAGCTTGATGACACTGACGGCATTCCGAACTTAGCCCGCCCCTGTCAATGTTCTATTGCGCTCAAAGAACAGTCGTACCCCTTAGGCTACTCGAAAGTCTTCGTCCCTCGTTCATCTGGCAAAGGGCATGTTTTCGGTGTATGAAGTCTATTGTCTGAATGATGAGACTCTGATGTGCCTTCTTCAGCGGTTAGTCTTCAGTTAACATCAAGGAAGACCAGTCCAGTGACCAAATCCAAAGAAGATTGTAGGAGGAATTTAATCAATATGGCGGTCCCGGCTTAGCGTATGCTCGCTGTTGGTGACTGACCCAGTCGTAAGTTGGCGACCAGGGGTAGCCTTGGTAGCATCTGGCGATGTCAGCCGAAAATGGGGCCTCTAGGTATATCGTAATTACTTTCTACTCGGACGCACACGGCATTACCAATCATGCTTAAGTGACTGAGACCTTAAGACTTGTGGTCTGGGGCTGACGCGTGGCACTTTGATGATATCGGCCCTTTCGGATGGTGAACTGCCTCATTCGAATATGGCATCAACGTCGATCCATGATGATGAATCGCAATAGAACCGTTTCTAGAACGCTGGGTATAAATCAGAGAGGGAGCGCCGTGAACGAAGCTTAGTTTCATCCAGATCATACCATCCTCATCATCAGGTTCTGTCACTGCCTTACGCGTCAACCCACCTTAGATAAACACCATGAAGATCTCTGGAAGTAGCACTGCTGCGCTGGCTCTCGCGGGCACGAAGGTAGCATCCGCTCAGAACCTGTCTTATGGAGCCGACAACTTCTACCGCAGCGACATCGTGACGGTGCAGCCTATCACCTTCCCAACCCAGAACCAGTTCACCGTCGCTGGGAACCTCTTCATCCGCAACAACGCCAGCCGTCCACTCTCTGCCCCAGCCATCGTCGTCGGCCACCCCATGGGCGCAACCAAAGAGCAGAGCGCCAACCTCTACGCCACAAAGCTCGCCGAGCAAGGTTTCGTCGCCATCTCCATTGATGTCTCTTTCTGGGGCGGCAGCGAAGGCGAGCCACGCAACGCCGTCTCTCCAGACCTCTACTCAGAGGCCTTCAGCGCAGCAGTCGATTACCTCGGCCTCCAAGACTTCGTTGACCGTGAACGTATCGGTGGTCTGGGCATCTGCGGTAGCGGCAGCTTCGTCATCAGCGCTGCCAAGATTGACCCCCGCCTCAAGGCCATCGCGACTTCTAGCATGTACGACATGGGCTCTGCCGCCCGCAACGGTTTACGCCACGCAGTGAGCCTCGAGCAGCGCAAGGAGATCATTGCTGCAGCTGCGGCGCAGCGCTGGGTTGAGGCGGCTGGAGGCGAAACTGAGTACACTGGCGGAACCCCCCACGTGCTGACCAACGCGTCGACGGCGGTTGATCGTGAGTTCTACGACTTTTATCGTACCCAGCGCGGCGAATTTACTCCAGAGGACACGACAGCGAACCTCACTACCCACCCTACTCTTTCCAGCAACACCAAGTTTATGAACTTTTACCCATTCAACGACATCGAGACGATTTCGCCGCGCCCGTTGTTGTTTGTCTCGGGCGACCAGGCTCACTCCCGCGAGTTCAGTGAGGATGCCTACGCACGTGCTGCTGAGCCGAAGGAGCTCGTTTGGGTTCCTGGTGCGGGACATGTTGATCTCTACGATCGTGTGGAGCTTATCCCCTTCGATAAGCTCACCCAGTTCTTCCAGAAGAACCTGGCTGCCAACGCAACGAGCTTGAGGGCGCAATAGAATACAAAGTTCGGAAGTACAGGTTGAAGTCGCTCGCGCCTATGAGTCATAGGTTCTAATGAGATGTTCGCTCGATGGAGTGGCAGAGTTGTAGAAAGGAAGGGGAAATCTTATGTCAGTGTGCCAGATGCTTGGTACGTAAGTCAACCTGAACTGCGGGATTTCTCTGCCATGGTATAGTAGGTTATATTACAAGTAGATTACTTCAATTTCATCAAACCTAGGCTTACATAAGTTCTTTCACATGGACCCAAGAAGCGCATCATTCTCTGTGTCGTTGCTTCGCGTGCTGCTCGTGAATTTCATTCCCCGACACAATCCCCACTTATCCCGGCCGTGAGCCGGCACTCATTACGCACATTCGGTGTTGCTGACCCGAAGCAAAAGTCCGGGCGTTATCGCGCATATCCCCAGTTCCTCAAGTCTTATTTACCAGGTATCTAGGCAGACAACCAAACCTGGCTGATAAAAGTCCAACCTGAAATTTGCGACAAAGGCATTGTCTAGGTAGGGGGCTTAATCCTCTGTCTAATTCCTCCTTTTACCCTCATTACTGCTTCACTTACCCAAGGTCCCTTAAGGTAAGGTACTCACTTCTCATCGACGCCTTTCTGCACTGGTATATACAGCCAATCTAATATGCTTGAGTATTCACTGTCATTCGAGCGGTATTTGGGCCTCGGTAAGGTTTCTGCACAATTGACCATCTGCGGACAAAAAGAGCAAAGAGTAAATAGCTTCGTTGCCAGCAAAGCCTGACAATTTTCTCATGCGAATTTGTACCCTTCATCCGAATTAACCTGAGCAGTTCATCACAATGACGAGGAAGGCCCACGCTGGAGGAGAACTTCCCCGCAGCGATTGATCGCCGATCTCCCGCACAATTGGGGACATCCATGCCCCCCTCATGCGGGGTAGCTGTCCTGATTGGGGAAGAAGCTGCCCCTGGCGACGAACGCCTTCGACGTCATCACCCGGTCATTGACGCCGGAGCTTTCATTCCAGCCCGGTCTGGTTCCTCCTTCTTCCTCCACTCTCCCAGGCCATTGGCACTTGCCATGTCACTTTTCAGCTCTTTGCAGATGGCAAGGGCGACAGGGGTATGGTTTGCGCGAGTCCGGCAGGCGGAAGGAGCTCCTTCGCCTTGGTCTTCAGCTGCACCTGCCGTCGTCATTTCGACTCCAATTGCGTTTGGAGCACGTGTGACGAGCTTCGCCCCTGCCCATTTGTCCTCCGTCGCCGGTCCGACGCTAGCCATAGGCGAGAGGGAGGAGGCAATTGAGAATTCTTTCTCGTCCCTTCAAAATCTGCTATTTGCTCTCTTCTTTCCAATTTTCCCATTGACCTACTACTTCCCGATACCATCTTCCAACCTTTACTCCTTCAATTCTCCCAACTTTGAAGTCGTTGATCCTTCCAACTGTACACAATTTGCCATAATAATACCATCCTTTCACCAGACCGCCAAGATGATGTCCGCAAGACCCCTCGTTCGCTCGACGCTCCCCAGAGCTACCCGGGCTGTCCGCGCACCCCGCCAGCAGCTCCGTTTCCAGTCGACGACCGCCTCATCCTCAACAGGCGGAACCAGCTCTCATTTCGGAGCCGGTTTCGCTGGTGGCCTTGCTGGTGCTGGTATCTTCTACGCCCTCTACTCCTTCACCCCCGCTGGTCGCGCTGCCTCCAAGGTTAACAAGGCCGCCAAGGAGGCCGAGAAAAAGTACACAGCCGCCGCCCAGAAGCTGCAAGAAAACACACCCTCTACCGATGAAGCTATCGACTACATCAAGCAGTTCGCTTACTCCTACGTTGGCTGGATCCCTGGTGGCCGCTCCTACGTCGACTCTGCTTTCAATGACTTCGAGACTGTCCGCAAGAACCACAAGGAAGAGGCCGACAAGATTGTTGATGACGCCTACAAGCAGTTCCAGGAGGTTGCCAAGGCTGGCCTGAGCCTGGAGGCCGTCCACAAGGCATACGAGGTCCTCGCAGACATCACCCAGAAGCTCGCAAGCCTTGGAGGTGATGCCATTGGGGACATCGTCGACAACCATCCTCAACTAAAGGAGAAACTTGGAGGAAACATTGACCAGCTCAAGGACTTAGGAGACAAGTACGGCCCCGAGGCCAAGAAGCAGGTCGATGAGACATGGAAGCAGGTCAAGGACGTCTTGGCTGGCGGGTTCACTGCCAGCAACTTCGACAAGGTACGGAAGCTCATCGAGGAGAAGATTCAGCAGGTTCAGAAGCTCGGCGATGAGGCTTGGAAGAAGGCGCTCGAGGAGGCCAAGCCCTACCTTGACAAGAACCCCAAGGTCAAGGAGCTGATTGAGAAGAATGCCGACGCGCTCAAGAAGGGCAACGCCAAGGAGCTCTTCGAGAAGGCGAAGAAGGCTACCGAATCCGGAGACCTTGGAGGCCTGGAGAGCTATGTCACCGATGCTGTCGACAAGGCCAAGTCAAAGGGCTCTCAAATCGGTGAGAGCTTTGGTCTCGACCAATACTTTAAGATGATCCCCGACGGAGACAAGATTATTCCCAAGCTGAAGCAGCTCCGCGAGGTCGCAGACAAGCACAAGGAGGAGGGAGAGAAGCTCTTCAAGGAGACTATTGAGGAGGTAAAGAAAGTCCTTGAGGCTAAGTCGAAGAAGGCGGAGGAGATTGCCGAAAAGGCCAAGAAGGACGCCAAATAAGGGACTCGTCTCCGGATCCATACAATTGATACCCCCATCAAGACGTCTCGGTGGACTACGACTTGTACCATAATACTTGAAGAGCATTTCCTGTGTAGCAAAAGGTCAATGGCTGGGATCACCGCCATTTAATCGCCCATGGTTCTGTGAAGTGTGAATCTGTATTGAGACATTATCTGCTTAAGTATTAAATGTGCTTCGCACCCGTTCTCCTCCGAATTCAAATATCCTGTGGCTTGTACAACACCCGCTCTTTCAGCAATCGAGGTGTATCCGGGTCATGGCTTGGAAGAACAACCACATCACTCTGTTTCGCAAAGGCCTTGATCTTTCGCAAGCTGTCCAACGCCGACATGGGGTCGTCATTAATACCATCCGGCTCTTCCTTATCAAGCAAATCGATACCATAGCTCGCGTCCCCAAGCAAGCAGTACGTCGATGTTGTCCCGTCCTCGTTATCGCCATACACGACTAGCGAAATGTGGCCGGGGACGTGACCGGGTGTATGCACCGCCACAACCTTCCCATCAGCCGTGATCCGGCCAGACGTCTCCCACGGCCCCACGGCCCCGGCCGAGAAATCCACAAGAGTAGGCTGGAATCCTTCCGGCCAGTGCTGTGGCACGCACCCCGCAAGCGTCGCGGTCATTGGGCTATTCCCAAAAGCGGCCCAGTGCTCCTTGCTCACGAACACAGGAACGTCCGGCGCAGCAATTTTCAGAGCCTTCAATCCGCCAGCGTGGTCGCCGTGGAGGTGACTCAGCACGATGGCCTGCAGATCGCTAGGCTCCACACCGAGACGTTGCAATTGCTGCACGATTCCCTCTTCAGGCTTGATGTCCACGCTGCTGAACATCTTTGTCGGGGATAGGTAGGGGAGGTAGCCCGGGTCATTGAAGCAGGGAGACTCGCCCGTGTCGAAGAGGATTGGTCCGCCTGGGTGGGCGATGAGGAAGACGCCGATGGGGAGGGGTTCCGTCCATTGGCGGTTTGCGATGCAGCGGAAGCGGCGCAGGGTGACGAATTGGTCGAGGTAGGATTTCACCGGTTGGCTTTTCATGGGGAGTTTGATGCGGACTGAGCCGGTTGAGAGGAAGGTCAGGCTGACCCTCTTCTGTGCGTCTGTACCCATGTTGGAGGTTGTGTTGGAGGTGATTGATAGGTCTGATGCACAACAGATTGTCAGAGGTAACGATTGAGCCGTGGACCGTCTGGACTTTATTGGAGAGGTTTCCCTTGATGTTCGACTTTGAGATTTGAAGCTTTCGATTCGTAAGCTGAACGGCCTACGCCTTTGTGTGCCGAGATCCCACATGTACCGAATGCCGGTTGGCGCCCCATTCAATCCCGGCTCTAAGCCAAAATGGATCAGCTAGCGACACAAGGTTGCCGCGAGCAATTTCTAGACCATGGGATTTGTATTGAAGATCATTTGAACTGTACAAGGGACTCCTCATTCAAGTAATACCGTCTTTACTGATGGTGGTTGCAACACTTGAAACGTAGAAGCTAAGGTAGAGAGAAGAAGGAAACCCAACTGATGTGCAAGCATCGTCAAGATCTCACTCATATTACCTTACATCTCATCACCATCAGGATCATTCAGATACCAAGTTGAATCAGACCCATCAAGCTCCTTCGTCGATATCCCATTCCCTAGATACGCGAACCGATTCCGTTTCTTCTCATACACATAATCCCAATCCTCGCCTCTGAAGTTCTCCAACATGTGGAAAAAGTGGATTCTACTCCCGGGATGCAGCGCCGTGACGGGTCCGTCCACAGCACCGCCTTTGAACCAGGACCTGCAGGACCCTGCCCATGCTGTTCGCGGCATGAAGGCTTGGGTATGTTCGTGAAGCTCATTGACTGCGTCGAGGCTGGGGCTGATGGATTTGATGCCCTCAGTTTGGCATTTCTTGATGATGCCGGCGATGTATTTTGCGAGCAGCTCGGTTATCGTGAAGACACTGCCATGGCCGATTGGGGCATTTGGACCGAGGAAGACTGGGTTATCTGTCAGCAGAGTGAGGGGTATATGATGATACTACCATATATGAACTTACCAAAGTAATTAGGCATTTCGGGAACCGCGCAAGACATGTAGGCTTTCGGGATATCCTTGGCCCAGATATCCTGGAGATTTGTAGACCGCCGTCCAATAATGGGAAACCGCGGGCGAAACGAGACATCGAATCCGGTGGCACACACGATGGCATCAACCGCAATGTGGTCCCCGGATTCTGTAACCAGGCCATCCGAGACTACGCGAGCGATTCCTCCCGAGATGACTCTCGCATTGGGTTTCGTCAACGATTCTAGGTACCCCACACCTGGTGTCATCCGACGACAACTAATAGGAAACTTGGGGATCAGGATATCGATCAGTCTTTGGTCGTCGTTGAGTGCTGAGTGCATGTATTGAGTGACACCTTCTGTTGCTTGTCGGTGAGTCTCCGAGTCTTTTAATACCTGGACCCTCATAGTTAGTGGAAAGTTCAGAAAAGGGAAGATTGGGTCACCAACGAGGAAGAAATTATTGTTAACTTGCTCCTCTATGGCCTTGACGAACGACTTGTAGAGTGCAGGATCCGACTTGAACTTGTCAATCTGAGCTGGCGTGAAGTTCTCGTCATCGTCCAACTCGATCTGCTCCATCGTTTGCTTTGCTTTGCCCAGTAGCAATGTCTGAACCCGAGGCGGCATAATCCAAGTTGGTCCCCGAATAAAATGAATCATTTCCTTTGCGTCTTTCCCTATTGGGTCAGTCTTTTCATGGCATGCAACTGAAACTTTCCAGAACTCACCTCTTTGTACAGCTGGAACGATCTGAACACCAGATGAGCCATTGCCTATGATGGCGACTCTTTTTTCTTTCCAGTCAAACTTATCATCCCAGTCGGCGCTGTGAAGGAGGGAGCCGGAAAAGTCGTGCAAGCCGGGAATATCTGGCCACTTCCAGTTGCTGTACCAAGGTCAGCGTTAGCAGCAACAACACTCGAATTAAAATCGTAGTGAGTTGACAAAAGGCTTTTGCGTACTTGAGAATACCACTCGCGTTCAGCAGAAACTCGCAATAATCCTCAAACTCCACACTGTCCTCCAAATTCTTTACCCTGACGGTCCATCGCCCAGCATCTTCATCCCAGAATGCTCCCGTCACGAGATGATTAGTCTTGATCTGGCGCCGTAGATCTTCACCGTCACACAAGCGGCACAAGTACGCCTGAATCTCTTCCGCCGGAGACAGAAAGCTGCTCCACTCCTTATTTGGCTTCCAGGAGAATTGGTAGTTGTGCGAGGGTATATCGCATTTGCATCCCGGATAGCGGTTTTCGTACCAAGTACCTCCGACTTCGGGGTTCTTCTCATAGACAATGTGTTCGAAGTTTGTGAGTTTCTGACGAAAGGTGCGGATCATGTTGAGGCCGCTTGCGCCGCTGCCGATTGTGATGATGCGGACCCTTTTTCCTGTTCCTAGGGGTTGTTCGACGACTATGTAAGGCTCAGCAGGCTTGGGATCTGGTGTTCGTGGGTTCCCAGGTCCGAGATGCTTGCTGATCTGAGTTATGCGCGAGGAAGCCATGTTGATTCTCGGTCAGATGGACACTGGGATAGGGCGTTGGTTCAATTAGAGCGCTTTGCCAATCGGGGAACCTGTAAGCAGCTTTCACGCACTAGGCTTCCAAGCAAATGAGAGTGGACTCAAAACTCTTTTATACGAGTATGCATGTCGCCTGAATGTGCTGGTATGATCACAGCAACAGGCCGTACTGCTTTGATTGCCAGCACGATGATGCCTCGGATTCGGCGTCGAATGCTCACCGTAGGCATAATCAACCCCAATCAACTTAGATGTCAATGGATCGCATCGCTTATTACCCAACATGAGTTGCCGAGCAATAGTGGGCCTTCATCTTCACGTCTAGGAGAGAAGCGCCGGCACTCTCGGTACTCGGCACATGGCATTCGGCACTCGATGCCCCGCAAAATCAGGGTCAACGCTCTACAAGATTCGGCAAATACAGAGTCTTGGAAAAAGTAAATCCAAAGACCACGAAAGTCTTACACTCCGCCATACCTGAAGGCCCATGTAATCTCTTGCGGATGAAGCCGCTGTCACTACATCCGACCATAAGCATGCTTGTCCTAGCGTAATCCCCGCATCTACTGTCTGTTTCCTCCCGTCTCGACGGCAGCGCAGATACTTGCGCTCTAACACCTATTCATCAAGTCGGGCGGTGTATGATCCACGGGAACACCCATGCTGGTCAGAGTCTGAATCTCTACGTGATGTCCTCGCACGAGATATACGGATTTCGGCCATGAATAATCCGAGATCCAAGACCTATCAGGAGTCAATCGCGTCATGTGTTTGGCAACACCTTGTTCCAGGAATTAATAGATGACTTCCTCTCCTCGTGCCTCCTAGGCTGCATGAAGGCCAACTGTGATACGTCAGACTTTTGTTCCTCAAAAAGAAACTTCACCATCTTCAAGTCGACCTTAGTCCCGAGAATAGCAGCAGGTACGGCACACCCTTATTCCCCAAACGCCAAGCATGCATTAAGGCCAGCACCATGATCAACAAGAATCAATTCTCAAAGGACCCCGCTTCATCGCCTGATCCCAAGTAGAGTGCTTTGATGCATCTCTACAGTCTTTCTGTCCGAAATAGACCTTTATTGGGTCTATTAATCATATGGTAAGGTAGGTCACATCCTGTTGTTCGGTGAGCAACCCAGGTCTGAGGAGCATTTTCTTCATTTGAGCTCGCGCCTAATTTGAAGCCATGTAAGACCAGATTTTTTTCCCCACCTTTGGAGAGGGGTGGAACGATGATAGCTGCATTGGTTGATTGACTACATGGGCAACAGCACACCGGAAATCAGCATGAGTATTCCTTTCTAGAGCCTTGGATTCGATGAGTCTCTGTCAAGTGTCCCTGCCATCGGATGGAAACTTGCATAATCTGCTCACGTTTGTTGTATGTTCATGTACAATTAGGACATCTTTGCTCTTTCTTCCTTTGTGGTACCCCTGACTTTGGCAAAGATATCGCTTGCAACAGCCAAAGCTTCTCTGCCGGCCGGAACGCCGCAGTAAATCATCGCATGCCGGCAAGTCTCTACGATCTTCTCCTCAGAAATACCAAGGTTGAGTGCTGCCGCGATATGTATGCGTAATTCTGGGGTCCTGTTGAGCGCTATCATCATGCCAATGTTGACCAGAGACCTCTCCTTGAACTCGAGTCCGGGACGAGCATAACTAGAGAAACACACTTCCGCAATGTATTCGGCACTGACTTTACTTGGAAGATCGTCGCGCTGTCACTCTTCTCTCAGCTTTATCCCTTGCACGGTATTGTAGTCTAATGGTTTACCTACTGCTTGCTCTTGAATGGCGCTAAGAAGTTTGGCCCCCAAGAAGGCTTGAGCCATTTGGGCACCCTGTACCAGCCTTTCGCTAGGTTCCGACATGATCTTGTTGCAGTTTTGAATCTGTGATGGTTTTCTTGAAAGCTAGTATGTGGTCTGAAGTATGTAGTTGTAACAAAAGCAGCAAATATTCCACCTTCAATCTTCAATCCGATCTGCTGGGATCATTCTCTGCTAGCCGTCCTATGTACAACAAGAGGGAAAGCTCGACTAGGTCTTAAATAGGTGGTAACATCTATATTAAAACTTCCTCTATCTCTATCCGGAAACCGAACACAAGAGCGAACGGTGCAGTGCCGAGAGCCGAACTGCCGGAAGCTCAGAATTATCCTTTGGTGAACATGGCGCCGAGGTCGGTAAACTCATGCCGACCTACGCATCAGCAAAATCTTAAGCAATATTGAGGCCGAAGCTGTGTTGAATCATGGTATAATACCTAGTGGTAAACGGTGTTCGCTGGCATGTGAAAGCCGGGGCGTTAGCCATTGGCGCCATCGAAATTTGTGAAGTCCATGCCAAGTACATCCATGAACGAGTTAATGTCGTCGAAATCCTCACCCATCTGCCCAAAATTTCCAAAAGCATCGTCCTGGAAAATAACTTCGTCTCTAGTGTCGTTATTCTGTGATAGGATATCCATGTTCTCGCACATTTCTGATGGAAAGGCAAATAGGTCGCCCATATGGCGCTGCACAATCTTTGCTGTTGACAAAGTATGGGAGCCTGCCGTGTCGCTTCTCGTACACGAGGACTCATCAACCCGGTCACCCCCAAAGTCTCGTGGCGCGTCTTTAAACTTTTGCAAAATAGCGCGAGCCCCTCCATACTTGGCGCTCATACCCTCAAGAATGGAATGTATAACATCAAGATCTCTGCGGAGTAAGGTCTCTTTCTCTTGCGATTGAGGTTGATGAGATATTAAGACAACACCGACGGCTAATACAAGGAAGGCGTGGTAGTGTATCAGGTGTACAACTCTCTCTCTGCATCGGATCTCGTCATAAAGCCGAGCAGCACAGGATGCAGCAAGGACCGATGCCGGCGAAGTTCTCCACGTCGGCGATGCACTTCTGCTGGCCGTCTGAGTCAGGATGATGGCGACGAAGTAGAAGATGAAAGTCTCGGCACGTTCTTGATTGAATGGCTTTCTGGTGCCGTCGGGGTTGAAAAGTCGTAAGTCTTCGGGCAAGTCAGCCAGCCAGCCGTAGAGTGATGCGACGACAGCTTCGACTTCTGCCGACGTTGGGCCACCTTTCCTGGATTTCAGGGTGGTGATGACCCCGACGATCTGAATGAGTTTCGTCATCCAAGTTGTAGCAATCGCGCCAAAGTTCTGCACTGGAAAGTCTTCCTCTGAGATCGGCGGTACATCAGTGTCTTCAGGCCTGATGAGAAGAGGTCGACCCCAGCAGGCTGTCATGAGAATTTCACTCGTCTGCGTCAAGTCAGTTATTCACGTTTCTTTGAAAGCAATTATCTGGGCCGGCTTTTGAGGAAGAGTAAATGCATGATGCTCACCTGAAGATGCCAGAATATTCGCCGCAAGCAACCAGCACCCTGGCGATTGGAATATGATGACTGTTTCTGAAGACCGAGTTGAAGCGCCATTCGCGAAGCCATGCCCGTCCAGTGCCATGGACCATCTAGCGTGACGAGGTAGGGGGAAGACGCGCTCCAGCATGACATCAGGCACAGAGATTTCAGCACCGTCAACTGGTCAGGCTCGAAGCCAACATGAATCAGCGTTTTGGCTTTCTCGTATTGCGAACCCGCGAGACCGACGCTATCCTCTCCGTGTCGCATTAGGCCGCCTGCTAAGCAAACTGCTTGCTGGAGAAGCACAGATGCATTTGGGCCGGCAACATCACCGGGGTCGACCACAGAGTAGTAAAATACGACGTGCTCAAAGAACGAGTCCTTCAGAGCCTGTAGTAGGACGGGGTGCGGGAGAATGCTAGCCCCGGTGACTCTTAGAATCGCCTCATTTACACCAACGTTTCCAGTGGCAAGATTGTCTAGCACGACATTGGGTGGTGTCTTGACTGGGTCGTGCATGATGGAGCCTTTGTCAATAAAGCTGCTAGGTCTCCAAACAATATCTCGCTGGAGACTGCTGCTGGTCCCTGAAAGTTTGCTGACTGCCTCTCCTGTTGGGCTGTTCCTCGGGCTGGTCATCTGATCTGACACCGGCAACGAAACAGATGGCGTTCTGATGCCGGCCTCGCCCAAACCAGTCCCCCGCGGGCGCCTCTTCCGGACTCCATTACGGAGACTTATTCTCGCTAGTCAGCGTCTCTGTTGCGAGCGCATGCCATGAAGGAGAGAACGTACACGCAGGGAACTTGGGCACGTCGACAATTTCGACACGTCTTATCTTGGCTTACTTGTAAGTCGCATTTTACCTAAGTACTTCGTGTTATCTCAGCTCCATGTCGAAATAGAGATATAGATACTTTTGGCTAGGAAGTAGCTTACTTTGCGTGAGTGACATTCAACACACACAATGTTCGCACGGTCCCTTAACGATCGCCGAGGTTTCTCCATACTCTCATTGCCGACTGCTCAAAGAGCTTCTCCCTATTCGTTGTGGATGAGGTGAACTTCGACTGGATGCAGACGTGACCTGAGTTTTGATTCTTCAATCCAGGTTGAAAGCTCACGGTGCGGGGCGAAAAGCCTTTTCTATGGAGCCTGTGGGCCGCCGGGAAGCTAGCCGAGGCCCCGGAAGCTCCGGGTTTGCGGGGTGCATGGACCAAGAGTCCCATGAAGAGGGAGTCTGGACTGACCAAGCTGATCTGGTACAAGCAACGATGAGGATCTAAGACCATGAGTACGACACATCACATTTCATCGAGACGGCCATGTCATGTGACCATCAGGCTAAATTGACAAGAGAAACCTAGATGGTATTCAACGTCCCTCTGAAAAATCAATTGCGTTCTATCTGCGGTCCAGGCTCGGGTGACTAGAACCCATTTTAAAGGATGCATGCTTGCGCTGGTGACCAGTATTTAGGCATTTGAAGGACAGCTGTTGTCTCGGAAACGACACGCGACGGATAGCCGGATGTGTCGGACCAGGAGTACACCTCCTTGAGCAAAAAGTCGGGTGACTGAGTTTCCCTTTTTTCGGGCTGAAAGGTCATCGGCTTATCTTGATTGATTGAGTTTTGGACTGGCTAGTTTTTCTTTTCCCGGCCCTTGATCGGATTCGATATTGTGCAAGGTGTGGGTGACACGATCCGTTACACCGTGGCTAGGGCAGTGTCTTACAGCGGTCCGCTTCCCGTCAAAAGAATCTAGGGGATGGCCGACGAGCCTCCCAGCCTCGAACCTACTCCCTTCCAAGAGCTTCTGAAGCCAATGTTTGCTCTCCAATCTTCGTCTCATCGTCATTGACTAGTGGTGAGGAAGCTATACGTGAGCCATCGCCCTGCGCCTCCGGCTCAAGGCAGCTCAGGTCATGTTTCATCGCGAGTTCTCAACGGGCTTTTAAGAAAAGGGATAAGGGATGGTGATGGTGATGGTGATGGTGATGGTGATGGTGATGGTGATGGGGACGAAGATAAGGAACAAGGCCAGACCAGAAGTCTTAAAGTACGCAGCTGTTCACGCGCTCAGAAGGTAATAACACGTCTGCTGTTGTATTCAAATCGCTGCTTCTCACTCTCATTTCATTTCCTCTACCTTAAGCTGTCTCTCCCGGTTCTCTAGCTTCTTGGGTGTCTTTGAGAACTGTAAATTCGATTTACCGCTCCACACTCATTCCCTTCAATCAGACTTCCGATGCGGCTAGCTACGATATGGATTTTCACATTGTCGCTTCTCGCGGAGCTGACTTACGCCCAAATTAACTTCCCTGTCTCTGGCGTTATGGGCTACTTGGGATGTTATGTCATCACGAACATGGCACAATTTGAAACAATTCAAAATGACGCCAACGTGGAGCCCGAAAGCTGTCAAACTCAATGTTCAGCCTTGGTACGCAGATTCGCTGCTTTGATGGGAACTACGTGTCTATGCAGCCGGGCAGGCATCAATAACCCAGATGCTTATTATGACCCCGAGGAAATGTGCAGTACTCGCTGCAGTGGGAACAACAATGCTCGCTGTGGTGGGTTTGCAGATGGATTAGACCACTACAGCGTGTATTTTGGCTTCCAGGAGGTTCCACCTGTTCCGACTACTACGGAAACGACTGAATCAAGCACGTCGTCGACAGCGTCATCGAACTCGGAGTCCAGCACTGAAGTTTCGTCTTTCACCTTCTTTTCGAACTCATCCTCAACCACCTCAGCTTCTTCTTCGACGATCGCATCAACGTCAGAGTCCACCACAAACCCATCCTCAATCTCCTCCCCCTCGACTTCCTCTTTAACTTCCCTGTCATCATCCTCCTCGGCCTCTGATTCAACCTCACCCTTGACCTTATCGTCGACCTCGTCTTCAGACTCTTCTTCGATTCCTTTAACAAGCTCAGAGTCCACAACAGACACATCCTCAACTTCCTCTTCAATCTTATCGACTTCATCGTCAACTCCACCCTCATCATCTCCCTCATCTCCCTCATCGTCCACTTCATCATCTACCTCATCCACGTCCACCTTCTCATCAACTGCGTTAAGTTTCTTATCGACTTCAATCCCTTCGTCAGCCTCTTCTGCAAGCTCATCAAGCTCTTTGTTGTCCCTGTCGTCGACCGCAAGTCCGACGTCCTCTTTCACTTCTTCCGAATCTATCACGGCCTCCTCCCTCACAACTACCAGCATCGAAGTGACCAGCAATACACAGTTCTCTTCAACATCAACCGGGGGTCCATTCGCAAACACGACTAGCTCTTCTACATCTTCAATTTTCCTCACAACATCTACGTCTACGGCTGACACCACTACGTCAAGCACTGAGCCAGCAACGTTCAGTGTTCCAACAAATTCGTTTTCTCCTTCAATTTCTTCTTCAAGCCTGAGCTCAACGACTTCCACCCTTTCAACGACACTATTATCAAGCAGCTCAACTTCCACAACTGCTCTTTCCACGATCTTTTCTAACTCCTCGACGTCCTCTATAAGCTCAATTTCGACAGGAACGACGTCTTCGACTTTTTTGTCATCTTCAATCAGTCTTGCCTCATCTGTGAGCTCTCTATCGTCGACAAACTCTCAGTCATCAACGAGTCTCCCCTCAGTGACGTCTGTTTTACCAACGACCTCTCTTTCATCGACAGATATCCCCACGTTGAGTAGCAGCTCGACAACCGAACTGTTCTCTAGTACAGACACACTCGTCACCTTGACTTCTTCTGACTCAACAACGATCCTGACATTCACTTCGAGCGGCACGTCCTCGGATCTTACAAGTCTACTGTCGAGTAGCATAACGGACAGCACCTTTTCTCTCAGTACAACATTCCTCGGTAGTACGACTGTTGCGGCCTCTGAAAGCACAGAGCCCACCAGCAGTTCTTCTATAAGTCCATCGTCAACAAGTGAGACAGTCTCTCTGACTGGTTCATTTGCGAACATGACATTCACATCAACCTCAGCATCGACTTCGAACCCATTGACAAGCAATGTGGATTCCGTCTCAAATCCAACCTCTTCAATCACGCAATCTTCGTCTTTAGACTTGATCACAAGCACGACGTCCGGGTCCCGTTCCATCCAAGCAAGCCAATATACGAGTTCTTTGAGCTCGACTCCAATCTCGGACCTCACTTCACTATCCGTCGCAACGAACTTGCCAAACATACTGTCATCAACAGCCTCGGCATCGACTACGAATGCAGCAACCGTTACAGACAACTTGGCAACGGACGCAACGTTGGCATCACCCACTGCTACGCTTTCTTTTCCATCCGAAAATCCATTGCCAACTATTTCGGTAGACGGTTCCGCCACATATGGCGTTACATCAATACTTGGACCAACCTTGAGCTCCTCCTTTATTACATCGACCCTATCACCATCGCCAACTTCAGTGTCCATTGTTACAGACCAGCTTTTCCGATTGACCGTATTGCTGGTTGCTGCTGAATCGGCTTTGCCACAGTAAAGGAGTTATATATGCCAAGCAGAGTTTTGTTGCTGATTTGTCTTTGAGGGTTGAATTTCGATCACTGGTGTGGGCAGCACTGTTATTAGACGGCCGTCGGCGTTTCGGATATTCCCCAGGGCTAGGCGTAGAGAGGAACACACGAAATGGTCTGCTTAGTTCAGTACAGACCGGGTTCATGTTAGGCGCGGAAATAGACTTGCTTTCGTCCAATGAGACAAATTACCAATTCAGGCCACGGACTCCCGGAAGGCATAGAATTGAGAGGTTCAGTCTCCTCAACTCAATATGGTGAAGTTTGATTGATCGCGGCAAGCTATCATACTAGATTAACAGTATGGGTAGTGTCTAAACTTCAACCATTAGACTTATTTCGACATCTTTGACACAAGGATCAAAAAATGCTGGCGAGGCCTCAAGACTTTTGCGGTGGATATACGTAATTGACATACCACTAATATGTCTCTGTGTGTGTGTCTATTTAGTTCCAAAGCCATCATGAGAGCCTTTCGCTCACAATACTTTGCTTTTCTGTTACCTCCAGAAAAATATTGCTTGGAAGCCAAAGTTCCGGGATCACATCAGCGAAAACTCGTTAGTTACACGCGAATTGCAGCGCGGCTAGTCCAGTTAGATCAAGTGTTATTTATAGATCAATATTTTATGCTATGCGAGTATCTGACAGTTAAACAACGGATTCACGGTGCAAAACAATTCGTGATGGAACAACCAAACGAGTGACTTCGCTGAATTGCGCAACAGTACCTAATACTTGATCTCGTCCCACATCAATTCTCTTCCAAACTCTAACGCATTTCATTGCGACCTGAACGATGTTTAACACCAGCTCAACTGCTAGTGGGCCATGTTCAGGAAAGCGCCACAACGTTGCCCTCCAGAGCCTGGCTCACCGACACACTACTCGCTGCGCTACCCGCCTGTCCCTGACTGCCGCTCGCGGGCTGAGATCCGGTTTGAGGTGAGCTCATCTGAGGGGAGCCTCTCTGGCCAGACTGGGAGGAGTTTCCTGGAGAACCTGTCTGCGGCGAACCCGTCTGAGGGACCCCAGTGGCTGGCATAGCTGCTGGAGGGGCGCCGCCCATGGGAGGACCCATACCGGGAGGCATCGCCAAAGGTGGGTTGGCTAGCGATACAATTCCCATTCCAACTGAGCCCCCAGCTCCGGCAAATGCGGCCATAGCGCTTTGGAGCCCCTCCGCAGGAAGTTTGGAAAGAACAACCTGGCCAAGTGCAGCCGACAACATGTTCTGGTTCATGAAAGATTGGAGAAGCATCGGCGTCATGTTGATCTGGTCGAGCGTCTGGCGCTGGAGCATTGCTGACATGACCATGATCTTCACGCTCTTCGTCAAAGTATCGGCGGCGTTCTGAAGAGCGATGCCGTCAGAGATTCCGATCGGCGAGGTCGGCGCAACATCAGTACGGGCTTGTGCAAGTGCACCTTCGAGTCCCATCATCGCCGGGCCGAGAGCAGAAGCGCTGTTGGGATCGGGTGTCAAAGCCTGAGATCGTGTTAATGAATTGAACCCCTCGATTAGTGTGTAAACAATTCAAAGCCTGTTGTTCGAAGTCAACTTACTCTAATGGCTGTATCCAAGTTCGATGATGCCACTGAAATGGACACGAACGCCCCCTGAATTGTTTGGAGGTCTCTCTTTTGGACATCATTTGCTGGCGCCGCAGCCACAGTGCTGAGCACCAATGAGCCCACGACAAAAAAGGCCCTCATCCTCACGACCTTCGCTGACCAGAGCGAGAGAGATTGAGGGAGAAATGAGTGAAACGAGATCGGAATCAAACAGAAGAGATGGACAGGTACCAGACCGGATTAACAAGTCACTTGGTTCGCGCTTACATTCACCAGGGGGCATCAAGGTCTTTTATGAAAATGCAACGAATGTTCAAGATGTTGGGATGTTTCCCACGCCGGACGACGTCCCAAAGATCTGGGTCTCACCGGCAGCCGGTTGGAGTGGACGTATCTGGTAGAGCTTGCTGTGAGCGCTTCAGATCTTGCGACGCTGCGGCATCCGTCCTCTGCAGGTAGACAATCGCGAAGATCCCGTCATACTAACAAGGTCCACATCAAACCATCTGGTGCTGATCCAGACGCCCGGGTCAGGTTCTGGCCTTGAGGAACTCCCGTTTGAGGGAATAACGGAGCTCCGATCAACGTCGTAGATGGGATGAAACGCCGTCGCGGGTCACAGTTGCCTTGACAGCCTACCAATTCGGGGAACTGGCAGGAGAGTCTGAGGGCTTACTTGGAGACGGAAGTCTGTGCGATTTCTTTATACGGCTTAGAGCAAATAAAGATAGTGATGGCGAATGCGATCAGTAGACTGGCTTCCGTTGCGGGAAGCCTAGGTAAGTCATCGATTGTTAGCATGACCAGCCGGGCGGGCTGCCGAAGTTTATTGAACGTGCCACATCTTGAGGCTGAAGTTGAGATCACTTGATCGGAGAGGAGATTGCTGCCGACTTGCGACGGCCGTCGATGAAAAGCCGGCTTCGAATGGGCAGAGATCTTCTCAGGCAGGATGACCCGCTGTAGCGAGGGATTGGAAACCGGCTCCGAGTGGTAAGGATGAGAGAGGTTCGATTAGCAGTGTCCAACGCTATTTGACTCCCTCAGAACCGAGACCGAGCTACGCAGGCTTGTTTGATGCTACCTCTCCCGCCAGTGGATTTCTGTGAGTCTGAGACGGTAATACTTTAAGTCATGCCCTTCGAAGGAACTTAAGAAACCCGTTGCGCTCTCTCGACTCAGTGCATAATAACGCTCAAAAGCACTCACCCCAGGCTTGATCTTTTACTACAGATGTTTGCTTGCTTGCTTCGGGCAACGGGGTTCACACCCGTCCATTCACGCTCGTCCGTTCATACAATTACAATGGCAAAAGAGGCTGCACAACCTAAGCGGATGCTACGAAAGAGGACGACTCGCTTCTGGTCGTGCCTCAAGAAGTGTAGTATATGACCAACGTCAGCATCGCATATTCAGCTGTTGACAGAAACCACGCAGCATATTTGAACATGCTTCACATGTGAATCAAGCAGCGGTTACAAAAGGCATAAGTAGGAATGGACGTTGTTTGAAACTTATGAGTATCAAGCTTGCTTACCACCTATAGCATTACCTCGCACAAGAGAACGAGCGGTAAGGCATGGGAAAAAGAAAAAAAGGCAGGGAAATATACATGTAGATAACAACCGAGGCCTTCCTCAACCCTGGAGAGACACGCCACCAGAATGTTCAGCATGGCCATAGCCTGCCCAACCATCTTCATCTGTCTCGTTTTCCTCTGCTTCTAAGCAGATGCTCCGGTTTTCTTCTGATAAGGATTGAAAATCGTCCATGTCGGCTGGGTTAACGAGAGTTAAGTCTTCCAATGCGGACGCTAGCCCATCCATGTTTGGCTGACCACTGGCTTCCAGCGACTGATGTGTTGGGTAAGAAGAGTGAGTGTCTGAGTCAAATCTCTTGCCATCGGGTATCTTCTCTCTCAAAGCGCGAAGTGCATCCTCTCTAATCTTGCTGACGACCTTGTCGAGCAGGCTGTCTCTCTCGTTCGCTTCAGCCAAGTCGTTGGCAAAAAGATTCGGGATAGCCCAATTCGAGTAGACATTCTTGTGTCCGGGACGAACTTGGATGTCTGTATTATGCGCAGCGAAGTAGTATTCGCACAGCCGGCAGGTAGGTTTACTACAGCCTATATATTTGACGTCGTCGAAGAACGGGATGTGATCGCGATTTCGGCAATACTCTCGACCGAGATAATGCAATAACAAAATTTCGCAATGAACTATGGGTTTGAAAGACGTCCTTTGACACTGATGCATGATGGACTCATCCAAGCCACAGACCTGAAGAGTTTTGGCCTGTTTGAGAGTCCTATCACGGTCCGCCGAGTTTCCCATCATTTTCCTAATAATATTGTCCGCCGAACGCCTCTTTTGTTGCGTCTTCATACCCATATGGCTTTGGAATGTGTCCATAGGATTATTCATGGGTATACTTGACGGCAGCCATGTTATGTCGAAATTTTCGAATAGGTCCGGGTGGAGACGTCTGCGGCCGGAAATGATAGCCCGAACAGCACCGTGATACGAAGAAAGCCGTCCGATGAAGTGCTGTAGCTCACACCAGCGCTCGGACTCGTTGAAGCGTCCTTCCCGGGCTCTTTCAATGACCGATTCGTACATCAGACTTTTGCGAAAGGTGTCTGCGGCTGAAACCAGATGTTCACCGTTGCGAGCGACTGCATTGCAATAAGGGGCCGGTTTAGCATTACTCTTCCAAACATCAAGGGAAGCCTAGACCAGACTTACGCCCTTCACTGTCATCCAAAGGCACCTCGGTCTTGGTCAAAGCCTGGAGATATTCTAGCTCATCAAGTAGAGGGTCCCCTAGAGAAGCAACTGTTTGATGATCAACCAAGTTGAATAGTTTAACACCAAAGACGCCACTGACTGGGTCAAGGGAAACATACCCGCGTCCAAGGACCTAGCCTTCAATTCTCCGATGCATTCATTCAGTCGCTGGTTAAGTCGCGACTTATACAGAGTAACTCGCTGCTTATGAAATAGGAGTATGTCGCGAAGAAGTTCGCGAAAGACCGGGGACCTATCATCGCCTCCAACGTCGACGCGATTCCGTGAACCCATTTTGTCAAGGAGGATTTGGATGGTCGTGGCTGCAGATTGAGCATCTTCCGAGCTCCGCTGATTGGATGTAAAGATGTATTGCACCTTGTCAGGCTTCTGAATGATGGCAAGGGATGTGATCGTGGACCCGAATGGTCGGTTATCATAGACTTGAGCCACTTTGTTGATAAAGAACTCCAGAATTGTGCGAGAGCTGCCATCGGTTACGCCCATTTCAGCAGCATGCCGATATTGTCCATTCTGCATCCTTCTACAGGCCTCATTAAGACCACATAGCAGGACCAAAGCCTCGTACAACCAAACCAACCTATCTCGCAATTTGACAGCGATCACACCAATGCCATCCACCGCCACGGTTCCTTTCGATTCAGGTCTTAGTCAACTATTTTCGGGTCATGAGGGAGAGTCTCATACGTTCTTGTCTACGGGGAACTGCCGGGTTCCCCGACATCAGTTCCTTGCTTGCCATCGTAGACAGGCCCGGTACCTAGGCTGTATTATGTTTTGGTAATCAATGGAGAATCTACTTCGTAACACGGAATTTTTTTTTCTCAAAGGTTTGGTGAAAGTGAGTCTCAAAATCGTTGAGAACGAAAGCCCGGGCGCTTTCATTTATGGGAGCCAAACCCACCAGAACTCCGCCAACACTCGGTTGCCTAAAGAAAGGCAGAGGAAGTCGGCAGCATTGAGTCCAATACAGCCGAGGACACATCCAATCGCACTTGATTCTTGATGCAACATGCCGGTTTGATGTATCAAAATGCAGAACGAGACCACCAACATTGGATGTGCGGTATCTTCCAACCACTTAGCTTGTCTGCCGGCCACACTTGAGGTCGCCTTGCCTGCCCCCAAGCCGCATCTCACCGAAAACCCCATAACTCCATCGGCATTATGATTGGCTTCAGATGTTTTGGCGAGCAGCTAGTTAACAGCTAAGGTCCGGGGCCGACCGCTCTAATGCACACTTCGACATGATCATTGGCCGATGGAAGCGCGAAGAATGTGCTGAGGTTGGCGTCAGGCTTTAGGTACTATTCGACATGTAAGATTGGATCTCTACGCCTGGCTTCTAAGCCAGTCTCGGCGAGTTTATCCTCACCATCTACGACACCATACTACGCCTTTCTACCAGTACCTCAAGTTAATAGCTTATCTGATGCTATATGGCGTAAGTTGTTCGTCATGTTATCGAATCAACAGCGCTACCTTTCATAGTGAATGGAAATTGGAGAACTAACGTCAGGGCATTTCTCATCATTCGTACTCTATGACTATATCAGTGAGACTTGCGCCCTGCTTTGAAATTGTCCCTTTCAGTCCTTCATATCCTTCCGGGACAAAGCAAGACCCCAGTACCACCCTATGTCATCTTGAGCCGTTCGCCGAGCCTTTTCAATAACATTAATCAGCGCTTTACACAACCTGTCCATTCTGAGTTGTAAATGATCATTTTGGAACTCAGAGTGACCCCTTTAAGCCAGTGCAGGTGTGTAAGAAACGGAGTCGATGGAACTAATGTGCGAGACCGCTGCAAAACTTGGCCTGAATGGCGGGGACAAGATTTTACATTCCTCGAATTCTAAGGACGTCTCACTCGGTCGCGGTAGCTTACAACGCTGTGAGTTTCGTTTCCTGGTCGCTTTATGTCGTCCAAACGGCACATGGAGAGGGGCACATTGCTGATTAGGTTGTAGTCCATACTTTTGGCAGCGTCGGCTTGGATATTGGCGCAATGAACAATTACGACCAAGAAGCCCCTCATGAGTATGAGCTCTTTGAACAAGTCGACCAAGGGGGGTTCCATTTCGAAGACGGGAGCAGTATGAATGCCGAGAATTTACCTTCTCAAGATAGGGGCCATCACTTGGGCATCCCAATGTTCGGTGGATCAACCGATGATTCACACAACCCCATGTCCTTCGTCCCCATTTCCGGAACTGCACCCTCAGGATATTAGACTCCTGAGGGTGGATGGTCGCAGAACGAGAGTCACTGTCCCGACGTGCGACCATCGCAGGTTCCAGAAGAGTGGAAGTTACAAGACGAAGAAGCAATGATATTGGCCGAACGTACAATGGAGGAAACCAAGTATGAATGTAGCAGATGTGGGAAAGGCTTCCCTAGACAACACAAGCTCAAGTAGGTCGTGGGGTTCCCAGTACTGCGTTTGGGATGGAAGTAGAGCTAATAATGATACAGCAAACATATGAAAAGACATACGAAGCCATACAAGTGTCTATTTAGCATGCCGAGAGCCACTCCTGATCGATGCCCAGCCAAGTTTGCGGAGAAGAAAGACCTCCTTCGTCACCGAAACACCAACCATGTAAGAGTCGACGGACCATACAAGTGCCCTGACTGCGGGGAAGAACTAGGAAGGTCAGACTATGTATCGCGTCACCTCAATGAATCTTGCCGCATGAGAAAAGGTGGTAAACAGGCGCCGTGTAGGTAAGGCAAGTCTTGGTGGTGGACTTCATACTTCTGGAGTTACCTTACTTCGCGGTTCCTTGTTTCCGACTTCATTCTTCATTCTCGCTGGACCTGCGCTGCTCTTTCATTCCTTGGTTGACATTCCCCGCAACGGTCTTGGCAATCTTTCCCAAATGAGATTTCAGTACGTCGCTCGATCAGTTGTTCGTGTGCTGGCCCCTACACTCTTTAGAACCCGTAGCATTGATTCAATGGCTCTTACAACCTCCCTCGGGCATACGTCGTGTTCTTCTTGTTGATTCGTGATCTGAACAGTCAACTATCCGACGCAGGAAGGAAGCAAACCCCACCACCTCACTGCCTGCGGCAAGACGCAGTTTGACGAACATGCCCTCGATCTGGGCCTCTGGTAGCTTGTACTAGCAACAACTTTAATCTAGTTAATGTTAGCGCAAAGATAGCCGCGAGCGGAAAAACGCATGGCATGATGCGCATCATTTCGGGCAGTGATCATGATCACTCATTGGACGGAGCCGAGAGCGGAAAGAGTATGTCTCAGGACTGGTAAGTTCATTGGTCGTGCAGGAATGTCAACTTCCATCGTCAGATGAGCGCCGAGAGCCCGAGACGCCAGCCGCAAACAGAGGTGTAGAAGTAAACAGAGGCTGCTTTTGATGCGATGATATGTGGCAAAATGGAAACATGGTCAACAAATCTTCGAAATCGCTCATTCCAATGTTGCGGATCTTAAATATCGGGGTTTGCCCGCGGAAGCCAAGGACTCTGTTGCTCCATCGTCTTAAGGATTCCTTGACCAAAGATCAAAGATGAAGTGGACTGCTTCCCTCATGATTGCGCTTGCCGCGTTGCGGCAGGTTGCTGCTACGAACTCAACATCATGCACCCCGAGGCTAATCAGCTACTGGATCAACGCCAACGCCTCCATCTCAACGGTCGAGTCGGTCGATGCGGGCAACGGCTTCTCCGAGGAGGGCAACGTTGCCTTCCCGGGTAATGTCACGAACTTGCCCAGTCTCTGCGCCGTGAGCTTCATCGCAAAGACATCGGAAGGCAATGAGTACAAGTTTGCCATGTTCCTGCCAGACGAGTGGAACAACAAGATCCTTACTGTTGGGAACGATGGCTTTTCGGGAGGCGTCAACGCTCCGGCCATGGCCGTCGGCGTCAAGTACGGCTTCGTCACACTTGGAACCGATGCCGGTCACAACTCTACCCAGAGCAACCTCACCTGGGCGCTGAACAACAATGGAGCCAAGCTCGACTACGGACACAGGGCGTTGCACAACTCTCTCGCACTGGCTCAGAGAGTTGTTGAGAAGTACTACGGTCTGACTCCTACTGCGTCTTACTTCTCCGGCACGTCAGACGGCGGTCGACAGGGTCTCAAGGCTGCTGAGATGTACCCTCGTGACTACTCGGCGCTCTTGATCGGTGCCCCGGCTTGGTGGCAGAGCCATTTGCAAAGCTGGAGGATCGCGATTGGTATCACCAACCTGCCCACCGATAACGCGAAGCATATCCCAGCTGAGAAGTTCACCGTGATTGGCGATGCCGTTAGAAAGCAGTGCGACGCAGCGGACGGAGTCGAGGACAGCATCGTCAGCGACCCCGCCAACTGCACTATCAACTATGACCTCTTCACCTGCGGTAAAGATGGTGTGGACGCGACAGCTTGTCTGTCCGCTGAGCAAGTCACCGTCGCTCAGGCGCTGTACGCTGACTACAAGGTCAACGACGAAACTGTCTTCCCTGGCGTCAGCCCCTCCTCCGAGTACGGATGGGGTTCGCTGCTGGGTGTCGGTAACGGTTCTGAGCCGAACGAGGTGGCCGTCGGCTACATGAAGTATTTCCTCTTCAATGACGCGGAGTGGGCGTGGTCAAGCTACAACGAGACTGTCCCCGCGTACGCCAACGAAACGAACCCCGGTGAACTAGACGTCAACACCTTCAACCTAACCAAGTTCTCCAGCCTCGGCGGCAAGATCATCATGTACCACGGCCTATCCGATGCTGATGTTCCGGCTAAGGCATCGCAGGTCTACTACGACAAGGTTGTTGCGCAGTCCGGCGGCGACGTCGAGGCCGTTCGCGCTTGGTTCCGTCTCTTCTTCCTCCCAGGACTGGAGCACAAGACCACAACCGTCGACGCGCCTTGGTACATCGCTGGACCGGGACAGGCGGAACAGCTGCTCGGCGGTGGCAACTACTCGGTGCCAGGCTATTCCGACGCGACACACGATGCGCTCCTTGCGCTCGAGCAGTGGGTTGACGGCGGTGCCGCGCCGGACTCGCTCATCGCAACAACGTGGAAGAACGCGACTGATCCGACTACTGAGGTCCTAAGACAGAGGCCGATTTGCCCGTACCCGTCAACCCAAAAGTTCACCAGCGGTGGTGATCAATCGAAGGCTGAGAGTTTCACGTGCTCAACTTAGAGTAACAGTGAGTTGATGGCATTGAGTCGAAAAGAATGGTCAAAAAGACAACGGCAGGCGATCGTGGCCAGCCGGAAGCGGCGTCAGGAGCTAGAGTACTGCATAATAGCAATAATGTTTAATGTGATACAAAATGGAGGAAAGACTCCAATTAATGCATTTAGTTGTTAACTGAATAAGACCCCGTATCCGCGCCACGTGACTCCGCGCCAGTTTGCTGACAATGCAACCAGACGGATCCGACGCGTCGCCACTTTGCAACCATCAATGCCATGCGAGTGGAGGGGCATCATCAATCCTCACCCATGTGACGTGAAACTATCAGCACCGGCAATATACTCCACCAACACACACGGCATTGACTAAGGAGACATGCCTTTCCCGATAGTTGCTCCGGCATCTCCATACGCTTCTCTTACAACGTTGTCCATCATTTCACGATGACGGCATCGGCGACAGGCCCGCCGTCCCTCGACGAGGTGCCAGAAGATGCCCATGGGGATTCGGAGCATGACACCCTCAAATACTCCCTCTTGGGTCCATCTCTTACAAAAGCTGGGCAGGATGCTGTCGATCAGACCAAGGTATGTCTCCAGCCTGCCCTATGGCGGGGTGCCAATCTCCCTAACAGTGGCCTACCAGGTATCCGATATCATCTACAATGCCTCGAAAGGATCAAAATTCTTCAATCGTGAAGAAGAACGCGACAAAACCTTGACAAAAAAGATTGAACAGATCCTCGAAAAGAAACGCCACCTCGAGAAGCAAGACCTCAGTCGAGAACTTCGCCTCGCTGACCAGCTCATCACACAGTTGGAGATGTCCCGAGACCTGACTCAGTACATCGTGCATGTCGACTGCGATGCGTTTTATGCTGCCGTTGAACTCCTAGACCGGCCCGAACTCAAAGATATTCCCTTCGCTGTTGGCGGCGGTGTTCTGACAACGTGTAACTACGTTGCGCGAAAGTATGGATGTCGGAGCGGGATGGCTGGGTTCGTCGCCAAGAAGCTATGTCCCGAATTGGTCCTGCTCAAGCTCAACTTTGAGAAGTACACTGCAAAGGCACACGAGGTCCGCGAGATCCTAGTCGAATACGACCCTCGATTCGAGAGTGCGAGTATTGACGAGGCGTACTTGAATATTACGGAATACTGCACGAATAAGGGAATCGAGCCGGCCGAAGCCGTGGAGCAGATGCGGCGAGAGGTCCACGAGAGAACCAAAATCACAGTGTCAGCGGGTATCGCAGCAAATGCGAAGCTTGCCAAGATCTGTTCAAACATGAACAAGCCAAACGGCCAGTTTGTTCTGCCAAATGATCGAGGCGAAATCTTGCGTTTCATGGCGAAGCTTCCCCCCAGAAAAGTCAATGGTGTTGGTCGTGTGCTTGAGCGGCAATTGGCCGAAATTGGTATCAAGACTTGCGCAGACATCTATCCTTATCGCCAATTCCTCCGACCGCTCTTTGGCGACAAGGCGTACGAATTCCTGATCAATGTCTATCTTGGCCTGGGGCGCACCAAAATCCAGCCGGCAGAGGAGTACGAGAGGAAGAGTGTCGGTACCGAGAGCACTTTCAAAGATATGTCTGATCCTCAGCAATTCAGAGAAAAGCTGAAGTGGACTGCGGAGGAGCTGGAGAAGGATATGAAGAGGGCAGAAGTCAAGGGTCGCACGCTGGTTCTCAAGGTGAAGCTTCACACGTACGAGGTCTTTACGCGACAAATCGTCTTACCAAGAGCAATATGTCTGGCTGGCGACCTTTATCATTTCTCCCTTCCCATCTTGGCGAAGTTGGAGGAGGAAATGCCGGGGATGATGCTGCGCCTAATGGGCCTACGATGCACACACCTTGTCAGCACGAAGAAGCCAGATACGATGGCATTCTTTGGTTTCAGATCACGAAGACCTGATGCCCTGGCATCACCCGAGAAGGCCCCCAGGCTTGTGCACTCTGGAGCCAGCGGTGAACTTGACGATGACGGCTGGGAGCGGTGGCCTGAAGAATCACTTTTGGGGCTTGACAATCATGAGGATTTCCGAGCGGTTGACATCGAGAGCGATG